CTTTAAGAAGATGTTGGATAGCCATTTGTCTGAAATGGTATAAGGTTTCCTGCCTAGGCAGGGGGTTGGACTAGAAGACCTCGAAGGTCCCTTCCAACTCTGCTATTGTATCATTGTGTGTGTGTGTGTGTGTATGCACACATACATACATACACATACAATACACACACTCTCTCCTTGACTTACAACAGTTCATTTAGTGACTGTTCAAAGTTACAATGACACTGAAAAAAATGACATGTGACCATTTTTCACACTTGCAACTGTCGCAACATCCCCATGGTAACATGACCAACATTCAGATGCTTGGTAAGTGGTTCATATTTATGACGGCTGCAGTGTCTTGGGATCATGTGTTCAGCTTTTGAGACCTTCTGACAAGCAAATTCAATGGGGAAATCCAGATTCACTTAACAATCATGTTGCTAACTTAACAAATGCAACAATTCACTTAACAACTGTGGCAAGAAAAGTCATAAAATGGGGCAAATTCACTTAACAAATGTCTCACATAGCAACATAAATTTTGGGCTCAATTGTGGTTGTAACTCGAGGACTACCTGTATATATTATATGTTTCTGCACCTTCATTCCTTCTGGGGGCAAAGATGTTTTTTCTCTGACCATTGCCCAGGTGGCAGCTCTTTTGTTGTCTCTCAAGATATTCCTACAGATCGTTACAGTCCCAGACATCCTGTTTATTGCCTTGAGGATAAACAGGAAAACCTTGGTTTAACAAACATAGAAGGGTAGAAAAACTATCCAGTAAAATTGTATATTCATTGTTGTTACTTTGCTCCAACAACAATGAATAGGTAAGGGTAATGACCTCTGACTGTTCTTGATGTACCCTTCCTACATATACAACCAGTGACATCCCTTTTTTCATGCTCTGGTTAATAAAATGTGTTATCTTCTGTTGGAAAAGAATTCCAATACATCTCAATTCAGTGACCCCTAAAATGTCAAGCATTATGACTTGCATCCCAGTAAATGCTTATAAATTGAATATAGAAGGGGTATTATTTCTCTGTCCCTTTGAAGAAGAGAGAAAGTTGGCCCTAATTCAGTAGATATCTCCTGAAAGCTTCCATTTCAATTTTTCTTTTAGCAATTCAGCTGAAATTGTTTTCATATTTCAGCTCTCCATTCCATGTCACTCTAGAAGATTGATGAATCTTGGGAAAGGCTTGGGGATGGGTTGGATGCCATTCGGTACAGTGGAGAAGGGGTGTAGGGAATTGCTTTACAGAAGGAAAGTGGAAGCATTGGCAGCAGAATTGAGTGATAACTAACTAGGGAACTGAGTTCAAGGGGAACTCCAAGGATTACAGCTGTTTTATCTGGAACAAAAATGAAAATGATTTCAAAAATGTTTAAATATATTCATAAAAGTCAAAGATTTTTATTTAAAAAAACCCTTTTGAATATGCATTGAACCTGGCTTTGGCAGAATTGTAGAAATATAACTAAGAATAAAAAATATTAAACGTTGTTGGCCATTTAGTAACCTTGAAGTTCTTGTCACTTGGGCTATTAAATTAGGGAAAGAACAAGTACTCTTTACGTGATATGTGATTTTTGAATGTTAATATAACAATTTAGTGCATGTTCGCTAACACTATTTAATTTTCAAAACAATTTTTAAATAGTAAACAAACCACAGCAATATTTAAAGGTTTATATTAAAAGATACTCAGGTTTTCATGCCATGGAACCATTTTTTCTGCCACTTAGCCCCATAGAATCCATTCAGAGTCCTTGCAAAACCACATTTGAAAAACTCTTAAGGAAACCTCATGGATATCTTTTGAACCTTCTCTCTTTAAAGAATCCACTCCAACTACCCAGCAAGCACAAGTCTAATATTGAAGGAACTATCTTTCAAAAATATTCTGCTAGGTAGTTGAAGCCATACATAACAAGAAGATAAGTACATATATTCTTGCTTTCTGTCAATTCAAGTTGCAATACAAACTAAACGATGACTTTCACTTCCTTTATATTGCAACACGATGCAGAACAATAAGGACAATAAAGAGAAATAAATTACACAGTCTGTTAGAAAACTATAAAATGTACCTTACCTTTATTTAGTCATTCTATTCTGCATATTGGAAATCTTCCTTCTCTTCCTTTTCTCCATCCTTTATCTGTCTGTATAAACTATGAAGAAAGCTAGAATGTT